TCCATTGGTATCTAGAATTTTGTAAAGCACAAAATAGAAGTGAACATCCCAATCTTCTAGAAATTCGCTAATTATTCCGCCAAATATAGATATTATTGTTAAACTTAGTCATGACTAGATGAACTTAGTTATAACTAATTAATTTAGTCAGAACTAACTAGACTTAGCTATGTCTTGGCTAATCATCATTAATCTTTTAGCTATTTCTACCACTTAATATACATGTGCAACATTCGGTCTCAAAGAATATTTCTTCATTTTTTTGACAGGATAAACCACAATTTGACACAGAAACAAAATTTAGTTACGGACATGAAAACAACATGAACATTTAATGATACACGAAGAGTATCATTAAATGATTCAAAATATATCAATCACAGTTGCTTGTGCACATTGAGTCTAATCAATCAACTTCAACTTCAAATCCATTATGATGGGTGTTTCTTTTTGTCATGCATCACTTCGCATGCATCACAATCACATTTTGCACGATTTAGGTATTGATTACACTTTTGTATCAACAATAAATTGCTCTAGATGCTCCAATATCTTCTTTCGTGCTGTAGGTTGGAGTTACTGAATGGCTAGCTGCTCAAGCAATCGCAAATCTCAATCCATTAGAGCACGTCGTCAAGGACCGTTATGCAGTTGCATTGTTTGCTATCTATAAATTTATGAACGGCCTCGCTTCTTGGATTCATTTGTAACCATCTTTAGTTAGTTAAAAATAAAGTAGAGATTACTCTACTATTTGTTGCTATAGATACTTTAGCGTGCACTAGTCATAGTTGCTACGTCAGCGATCCATGTGCTTGTTTAGTACGGATTAAGTGTGTTAGTTAATGTATTATTTGACTGCCCTACGTCAGCAATCTATGTGCTTGTTAGAATTATCTGCCACGTCATTCATCTACTAGTAGTGGGATGAATGGTGGGAATAAGATCTTATCTCCTTATACTTGTTGGTGAGAGCTCTATAAGGAAGAGTAGAATCATTGTTGATATCTCTTATCTTCAGAGTTTATGTTTTCATCTTTGAGTGAACATTTTTCTAAACCCTAATGTTAAATCATTCTATTGTTGACAAAGCTAAGAAGATCAGTGCAACTATCTCTTTAAGAACATCACATCTCTTTATGTCACCGCCTGTGATTGTGTCTCTAAGATGTTCGCCAATTGCAATGAAATCAACTTGCTGTTGGCCTATCCTTCATTGTTTCCACCCGTATTGCCGCACAAACTTGTCAGACTAATCGCTACCAAGATCATTTACAAGATGCGCCTTTATGACTACAGCTTGAAGTAGAGATATTCTTGTTATCATATTGACTATATCGCCGACAAGCACAAGCCGATGTGAGCATGTTTCCAAGCAGTGCATAGATGCACTAACTAGTCAATCAGCGTTCAAGGATGTATGGAGTGTGCTTGATTTTAAATTTTCAAACTTTATGGAGTTCTGCGACGTGATTGCGATACTATTCCTTGAGATTAGCAGAGTCTAATTAGAATTTTCAATTCTTTATCTGAAGAAGTATGCATTTTGCAAGAGTTTGTCGGATTTTGATTTGGCAGAAGTGCTAAAGGTGAACACTTGACGTTCATTGACTAGTTTGATGTTTAGTTGGCGTTCTCAACAACTCATAAAGCTTACATTTATGACCTGCCTTATAGTAACATAAATTAAGATACCATGACGCAACTTAATTAAGCTAATATATGTAATTAATGCGCATGCTTGAACTAATCAAACCTGTGTATAATCAATTGTGATTTATGATCAAAGAAGAAGAATTTAAACAAGTTTATAATTGATAAGACTGTTTACGTTTTTTAATTATTATTTTTATCATTTAAATAAAGGAGTAAAAAACAAAATTTTTAGTATTATTTACATGCATTTGTCCTGTATATAAATTGGACCAAGAAGTGTCCAAGATGGCTAATAAACTCTCACAGACCCGCAAGTGAAGAGTTAACAAAAGTACCATAGGAGCTAGGAGAACGCCCAGCACGAGGAAGATAAAATTTTTCTAAATTAAATATTTCTGAAAAATATTTAATTTTGATATAGTATGAATACTACTTGTTAAACAAAATTTTTATTACCATCGAAAAAAAATTATCATTTTCAGATATCATGATGATTGGTACAATCAATTTGGATTGCAAAGAAAATTGTATGTTTCATAAAACTATAAAAATTGTAATTTATTTTTGTGCAACTAAAGCATGTACATGAATCAATTTAAACTCATTTTCCAGTGAAATAGACAAAACTGAAGATTATGACTATGGTAGTTTTGATGAAAAAAAGTAATGAATTGAAAAATTTAGAAATTCCTATTGTGTGCGCCATTTCACGATATATTAGGCCCGTGCCCCCAGATCAAAATGATCAGGCAACAGGCGCCGTGCGAGTTGCAAATCAAGCACGTAATGCTAGCAGCTCATCCGACGCTATAACCAAAAGCAATCCGGCAAAAAAATCATAAAATTTGATCTTTTGTGAGATTTTTTATTTATTAGATAAATATATTTATTATGATTAATATCAGAAACGATTAAATAGTCAGTATTGATGACTAAACGTTGAAAACTATTTCACACGTGATTATGAATTAATTGATTTGAATAACAAGGTAAATAAAAAATCACACATAAAAACCATAAAATTTTAGTTTACTTGAATTAAATTTTTTTTCGAAATAATAATTATAATCATAATGGAAACTATAAAAATGACTATTTTTTACTATAAATTATTATGAAAAAATAAATCAATATTTTTTAACGGATTATATTGTGACAACAAAGTTCTAGATTTTTTTTATCTTTTATCATTAATATAAATACGATGAATTTTTAATAATATTTGATACAAAATTCACCAATATAATAATGCAAGATGATGTGTAGAATATAATTTGATGCAGAAAGATGTGGAAAAGTCATCAACATAATATCTTGACGGTCATTAAACATCTAGTACTTATTATACTCATAACAAATTTACTATCATGATAAGACTTTCAGTTGAGTGTGAAATCCAATTCTGTAAGAAGAATCAATCAACTATTGCATCTATTTTTATTTAGCAGAAATATAAAATAAAGTCAATATACAACCTTTTCCATTACATCATTAATCCATATTTAGCAATCAGCTATTCAGTACAACTTGCTTAATTTTTCTTACATTTTGTATCTGAATTTTCTAAATTTTTTTTATGTTTACCACTCTTGTTACCAATAGTCGATATTTGTAAGTCTCCAATTGTTTTTCCTTCCATTACAAGCTATCTATTCAGAAAGCAACGGATATTCGAAATTCAATTTTGATTGAAATACACAATTCAAGCTTTTAATCCTAGAGTACATTCATTATCTGAAAAGAGTACAAAAAGTTTTCTGTGCTGGAATGATGTTCAATATGAACTGTATACTCAGATCTACTCTTCATACTTTCTGAAAATTCAGTCAACAGCAGAGCTACTGGTTCTGCCGGTTCTGTATTCCTCTTTCTCTTCATATTAGTCAGTACATCCTTCAGAAGCCGCTTATCAGAAGTAAAATTATGACACCACAACATCATTGCTAATGTTGGTGACAAAGTTGCAGGCAAAGTCGAACTGGAAATAGTGGCCGTTCACGGACCAGCATCATCAAGTGTAGTGAGTGTTCGGGTGCTTGGAAGGCCGCATCAATGAATTCCAGCTAAACGATTACGCCACGGTACAGAACTCTACGACATAGCGGTCTCAAGGCACGAGGCTTAATATTCCTCTCCGTGGCGGCGTGATGGACGATGCGACAGGAAGAAGCATGCTGGCCAAGATCCTGCAACCACTTGCAAAAAAAACGTTCATTTTCCTAACGTGATCGCACATGAGATACCCGTGCTAAGTCGGCAGTTACTCTATGCAATTCTACATAGTCGACGCCAATACGTCTGTTGTGAAATCATACACATGTGGCGTTAGAGAGAGAGAGACCACCGACCTCACAAACGGATTTGCAGTGAGTACCTCCGACCCCCAGGGCTGTTTTGGGCCGTTTGGCTTAAGCGACGTTCTCCTGGTGTAACACATTCACAGAAGAGATGTGTCTCCTGTGCTTCTTATACCCCACTCGCTTATGATCTCGAGCATTGCTGCGTAGGACACTGAGAAGAACCAGAAGTTGATTGATCTTCTCTGACAGGAAAATGTCGATGTAGGAGGCAATGGATATGGTGTTAGACAAGATGGATTCCAGAAAGGTCTGGCGCATGCAGTCACAAAGCTGATACTGAAGTCGGATAGTAGAAAGATGACGGTGTTTTTTGCTTAAAGACTTACGTCATTGTTGAACTAGAATGACTAGTTCAACATTAGTGACATTGACAGTGACATTGACTAGTTCAACACTTTGCAAGCACAATTCCATACACTACAAGTGAAGAAGTTCTGGTGAGCCCAGTGCAGCGGTTTGAGAGGAAGGAGCTGTTTGTTCGAAGAAACAATATGCACTTGGCATCATCACACCATCCAGCCACACCATCTGCTAGATGGTATTCCTACTGTGGATTTCAAGTGTGTTCGCAAGATCCAAAATGCTCGTTATGTCATCCACATGATAAGCAGCGACAACAAAGGAGCAAGAAAGGTTGACAGACGTTGGCAGCCTGTCGGGCTGAATATCCAAACAGACTAAAAGCAGGTTCAGGTCATCCACGAAAATGTTGAACCAACTAAAGCTTTTAATTTCTACGACCTACGACGTCCAGCGCAAGAGTTAGAAAATCGTTCGGGCCGCGAGTTGTAAAATCATGACAGAAATTCGTGAAGTCTAAAGCGAGATCAGGAGAAAGGAGCTCCTCATGATCTAGGGAAACGTAGTACAGCAGGCCCATAGCCTGCACCGTGAAGCCGTGAAGTGCCCAAAAACAAGTGATATAATCTATGCTCGTTATAAAACTGCACCCATTGAGGCACTAAGACCTAATCGGTAACGAATGCTTGAAACGCTGGCATAATTTTGGCATTAAATAAAATTAATTTACAGCCTGGGAGAGCTTTACTCGAAATAATGATACGAGATTTTAGGCGCGACGACTAGAGCCTTCACTTAATAAATGTGATATTCTCATCCTCCTCGACCCAGTCTGAATCATCTGCATCTGCAGATCGTCGTGACTTGGACCTTGGGGTCTCTTCTTCTTCTTCTTCGTCTTCCATCTCCCCGTCTTCACGGTCTTCGTCCTCTGAAATATCATCTGATCCACCTTGCTCCTTTCTTTCTCTCTCCTTCTTCAGCTTTTCGAGAATCGAAATGACCTGGTAAAACAATCATCGACCTCGATACAATTAAAAAATACGAATCATAAACATACGTTCTCCTGACCTCTCTAGCACACAAGTACTCGGCAATGAGAAGAGTTTGGATTCCCTTGAGCTAGTCAGCTGAAGGAAAATCTGGCATTTGCAAGTTTATGTTTTAGAACTTGAATCTCATGAGCTCCCAGAATCTGGTACAGAGGAGACTCACTTCCGATAGCCTGCACTGCAGTTTCTACCATAATGTCTTTGACCAACTATTGCGAAAGGTATTGCAGGCAGCAACAAACGAGATGCCTGCGCACCCTATTAGGGCCTCTGGCTGCTTCAGGCATTTGAAGAGTCTTGTCTAACCTAATTTGAACTAACGTTAATCATAAAAACCTCGAAACGATGAACGAGAGAAGATGACACGCAAGTATAGAAGACCAGAGATTATCCAATGATAGGAAAGAATGTTTCTAGCGGCTTTGTTCAATTCAAAAACATGCACTTTCGAACATTCCTTAGGGTCAAATGCCCTCGTCAGTTGCAAATTCACAAGAAACTTCATTAAACCCTTAACCCTGCTGTCCTCTATCTGATCTGCAGGGACATGTCCAGTGTCCTGTCGACTATTGGCAGGTGTGATAACCCAAAACTGCTGGTTAATACACTGTAATACAAAACAATTCCTTAGATTCATGTCCCGCGATTGAGAACCGCGAAAATTACTGACACCTAAGACATTGTGCAGATGACTAGTGAGAAACATTCGTTGAATGGGAAAGAGTACAGATATGTTTCTTACCCGACTGCCCCTCTCCAGGGCCTCGTCTTTGATGAAGCGAACTTCAGGAGTAAACTTCAAATTCATCCTTTGTGCAAGGCCCTTCCTCACGTATCCTGCTTTATTTTTCAAGCCCTCCAAAGCTGTATCTTGTCCCCTTTCATCTCCGTATATAGAAATGTAGACCTTGGCGACCTACAATCAGAGCATAAAATTGACCCCAGGTACTTTCGTTTCCACTCTGGACCTGCTGACTTCAAGCTCCTACAACTCGTTCGAAACGGACTCGCTGATAATTCACACCAGCGTTCCCCAATTCCTCAAAAATCGGGACCAAAGTAAATCAGCTTCTTTAAAGTTAGACAAATGGTTAAGATGCAAGAGCTAACTTACAGATAAATCTTTTGACATTTCAACCTCGCTGATAGTAGCTACTGCGGTGAGATACATGTCAGCTCCCAGTGCTGATTCCGGGAGAATAGCCGCCTGCAGAACTTTGTCATATAGAAGCATCTCTGAAATCTCCCTTTTAATCTGCTGAGACACCATCTTGATTCTCCTCTCTCGAGCCATAGACACAACACGTAGCCTGGTTCCCGATACCTCTGCATCAATTTCTCTGTAAGCTATCCTCATTCTAGAGCCCGAAAAAAAAGCTGAGCTCCCAAGTACCGTCGAATTCCAGCTGTGGGCGTCATTGCTGAACCTTGCATTCATTACGGAAGGTGAACATTGTGGCAGCTGCGATGCCTGCGCACACGGTATCCGCAACCGAGCTTCTAAAACGCTTTGCATTCTCTCTCCGTCAAAATTTCCGCGATGTTGTGAGATGCGAGCTGAATTGTGGAGACAACTGTATGAGTGGAAGTATGAGCACTGGGTAGTGACTCAGTGGCAAGAACTGGGAAGGGGGCGTTTTGGAGAGACTCGAAACCCGTCGAATCCAAACCGAGTGAGTGAGTCGAGTGCGACCCATCAGCAGTCGATCACGGGCTGCCTCGGTGGAGACGCTGGACTGCAACACCTGCTCGTGAGTCTAATGCATTAGACTCAGATAGCCTTATCCTCTTCCCCCTTAAAGTTCAGTGCAGTAGGTCAAACCCGCACACGCACTCTCGCTCGCTGTCTGACTATCGCTGGTCGCTCGACTCCCCTCTGCATTTTTCATTCTTCCTCTCTTCACTTTCAGTGCACTAAATATGGAACAGCTGTTATGGTCCTCATGGACACATAGACACCTGCACAAAGTGATTCGACGACGCACCGTCTATGCAGAATCCAGCTTTCTATTTTGTGAATTGTGAAGACAAGGACGTGTCTTCGGTCCGAATTGAAGAACGTGAATGGTCGTCCAACATCAGCAACATTTACTGCAGGGAGATATTCTGCTCTCGTGGACAATTGAATATATTTTAGCCGACGTTACGTATAACAACTGCCGGCGAGAGATATATTATCACACTGATTTGAGCCATGAAGTGGAAAAGGGATGGAAGGGACTGTCGAGAGCAGCCACATCTAGAGTCAATCGTGGTGCTTATGAAAGAGGGATAAGATGGACAGGTTAGCATTCTATTCTCGAGTTCTCAGAGACTGTTGTGAGTTTCTCAAGGTCCTTCTTGTGTGAGGTCTTTATAGTATTTACAGGAGGGAGTTTTTTGTCTTATATTTATTTCCTCATTCTCTCCTTGTAATGTAAGGTATTGAAATTCCACATGTGGGAGTGCGATAACTTTCTAGTTCGTCGGGTGCCTATACCTCAATTCATTCCAATGTATCCCACATATAATTTGTGATGTTCATTTCATCTTCACGGTGATTTTTTTTAATCTATATTTGACCCATTATATTCGAAACAATCTACACATTAGTTTTCGTGATGATGCAGATCATATGCTACTATCTTGTGTAAATTCGTTTTAACTTCATAGTGGGATTTTATTAGCTGTTGTAAGGCAGATGTCTCGTCACCGTAGTGGGCTAGTCCCCAATCTCCTGTGTATTTTGTTACTTCGGCTTGATAAATTATTCCCATGTGAATTATATCCACGTCGTCCCCTGCGATCAAATGAGATGCTTTGTACATGAGATGAGACTTGTTTGGAAAGATCTCACATATAAATTTTCCACATGCGTGAAGGAAAATTGGACCACGGAATGTGATGGTGGAGTCTTAAGTGCCAAAACATCACGTGAGTTCTAAATACAAGCTATAGGAGTTAAGGTTCATATTCAACAAATAGAAACATACGTAACAATCATATCACGATGGACAAGATTCTTGATTTTGTACATGTTGGCTACGGGTTTTTGTAGAATGTACTAAAATTTTTTTCACATAGTTTTATGCTCATCACTTTCTTTCCTTCAATGCCTCAAACTTCATCAGTCGATTGTAAAGATGACCTAGATAGAGGAGCAAATATTCTACTTATGAAGTGGCTTGGGTGTACGGATGCCCATAATGCGTGAGGTAATTTCTTTTACTGTAAAAGCATACGGAGATCCATTTTTTACTTTGATTTTGATTTTTCGAATGCCAATATCACTATTATATGTGTTAAAATAGAAATTTTTGATCATGATCACTATTGCGCCTAACCTTTGGTTTACATTCGTTATATAAGTTATAAGGCTTGATTGGGTCTTTCTGGTTAGCAAAAAAAGAATCTGTCTGTCCTATTGGACCCTTCGTACAACCGAAGTACTTCTTTTCCAAGAGCATGTCACTGCTGAGCGTTTAAACAGACACCAAGAATGAATCACCACTTTTGGGGACGGTCTCATAACAAGGTAAGGAACTCTGCAAGCATAAAGCAACCTTGGCAGCTAGAAGGTCGAGCAAGTTGGTTGTATTAATTCTCAAGCATTCACACTGTAGACTTTGACGTTAGTTGTTTACTTCTTTTACCCTGAAAAAGAAAATTCCATTTGGTTCTGAATTCAATCGTAGGTCGGCCTACCGAGAGGCATTTTTTAAATAAAAGCATTTTCTCTTCACTCCAGATTTCTCGCAGAAAGAAATACAAACTGATTGTCATGATAGAATGGGGTTATCTGTACGTCTCCATAGGGAGCTATACATATTTTATTATACGCGAGTGTTGTGTGCGAGTGCCCAAGTAGTGTGCAATTCACAATTCATCCGAGGAGATATGCATGGAAGCCCCTCGACCTTCCCCACACATAATAGGGGGTTTTTCACGGGCCGAGGAAAATGATTGAATTACTGAACAGACTGCCCATGGTGGGATTTTGATTATGTTTATCGTCAAGATGACTTGACAGATTGGGCATGACATGTCTCCACATGGCGAGTCAATAATATTGATATATACTTTGAAAATATTTGAAGAGTTCCTGCCCTGATGCAAGTAATTTCTGAATTCAACAACACCACACTCCCCCCCCCCCCCCCCCCCCCCCCCCCCCCCCCAACCTTGAAAGCCATCAGCAACCTAACCTACCGTGCCCCAACCTGGACATATATCTGTGTTCGCGCTGGTGCCGAAAAATTATTCTTCATTTGAGCAAAAGTTGGAAATGAGCTCTGTACTCGAAATAAAAAATTATTTTTTCCAAATCTGAAATTTGGAAACGTATCGGAAAATAAGGTCGAAATTATGTGTAAACATTGTTCACGGAATGGATTGGACACTTGTTTAATTTATCGTCTATTGATTAAAATAATGTGCAAAGATGGATAGTGTAAGTTTGGAGCGACACCGTTTTAACTTTTCGGGCGACCAAGAGGGCGAAGGCAAAGGCTTATACAAGTAACGATATCGGAGTCTGACGGACGGACGTCCGTCTGTAAGGAAGCCAGGACGACGACGACGACGACGAGAGAGAAGCGGAAATCTGTGTGCCAACTTTCCTTCCTTCCCTTGCTGCGTGCAAGGACGAAGAAAGAAGGGGCGGGCACAAGCAATCGGATGATGGACCTCATCCCCTTCGATTCTCATCTCGCTTCCCATTCGAGAATTCCTCCGCTTGTCTCTTTCGCCTTCCTCTGTCTCCGCGGAAGGGGAGGCAGGGACAGGAATGTAGCAATTTGGGTCCCCTCTGCCATTCTACTGGCGCCTTTTCTCGGCCTTTTCTGTGTCTGTTCGTCCATTTATCGGAGGCGAGGTAATGAGTGATGTTTGGGTCCGAGTGACAACACTACAGCTGGGCCTGCCATCTCTCATGGCTTGTTTGTGACAGGTTTCATCAAGCAGCGGGGTTGAATTCTCGGTGATTGTGTTCGCCCACGCCTGGAAACTCAGAACCAAGGGGCTTGGGAAGTTGTTCAATTTGGAAGGGCAGAGGAAAGGGAAGTTTAGATGGCTACGGCCACCTCCCGAGTGCATGGCTCGCTCTTGGAAGGAGCTGCTGCTGCGGCGAGCAGCAAGATAGCGATTGCCCGGTCAATCCATACATCATGTATCGTGCCGAGCGGCAAACGGCAAGTGCATTTATCTGTTTCGAAATCAGCGAATTTGGGCAAAATTGTAGACTTACGGTCATTTTCTGGTAAGAAGGACGGTGAGAGAAGAGATGGCGTGTTGAGTGTCCGAATGGGAGCAAGTGCTTCTGCTTCTGCTCCTGCAGCTTCTACGTCCAATCCTAAGCTCTCTGGACAAGTCAGACCTTCTCCCGCCGAGGCAGCGAGGACAATTGTGGACATTAGCAATGAAGGCACGCTGTCTACTCTGACCGAAACTGAATCATGGCCCACCGCCACTGCCGTCCGCTTTGCTCTGGACGCTCAAGGGAACCCGGTGTTCAGATTCTCTTCTTCAGCTCTGCATACGCGGAACTTGGCCCTTGACAATCGGGCTAGTCTTCATGTGCAGGCAAGCATTTTAACAATGCGCAGATACTTCTCACTTATGTTACTCTGTGAATGTGTCTGCTTGTGCACTATGAACGCGTTCTGATAGCAATCCCCACTCATTGTTGGTGAAGGTTTTCGTGCAGACTTTCCTGACCAGGGTACACTGTGAAAGCCGGTATAGAATTTGTGTCTACCTGTGCACTGAAGTCTGACAGGCGATACGTTTGTTTAATGAATGTACAACATCGGTCTGCAGTGCGCTTTAGCTGGGCATTTCATGTCTTGCTCCATGTGTGCCCTTTATGCTGTAAATACTTGGTATAGTCGAAAAGGTTCCGATTACACTCCGCTAAAATACACAAGGATTTCCGCGGGGATTTTTTATGAGTCTGAGAAGACGTGCTGAACTTGTCATTGAAGTGAGGATCTTTCGGTGTTGTGCATCTTTGTGCTTCTATGGAACCTTAGCTGGAGCAACCGGGTCGTCAAAAACCGCAATGCACACTTAGAGGACGAATTGTGAAAGCGGAAGAACCAGATCTTCAAGAGGTGAGCTCCGTTTGTTGTTCGATTCCGGCAGTGAATGAATTTCTGATGTTGCCACTTGACAGTTGTAGTGGGAACCGTGCAGGGAACACCTCAGGAAGGATCATGTTCTCAAATTGTGTTCCTTGTGATGATTGTGAGCAGAAACTGGAGATAGCTTGGGAGAGGAGGTTTGGAATAGAACGTGCACAGGACGATGCCTACTTTATTATGGTCGTGGAACAAGCCCTACAGTCTCAGGACATGGGCGAGGTCATTTTCTCAGCTAAATTGCAATTCTTACGTAATGTTTGAGTAGAATATGTTTGCAGCCAAGAGTGTAGAACATGCCATACTCTGTCCAGGTTCAAAGTTGCGAGTTAATATCACCCCATAGAATATAGTTATGCTCCAGATTATGCATTTTGAATTTCATTCACCATCTGTCAAAATTACCACTGCTTTCCTGTCATCAAAATGTATGTTGTAAGGCTCATGTTATGTTCATGTCCCTATCCTTTTGTCAAAATGTATTTGATCTTGACAAATACATTTAAACTTAATACCGAAAGATGCACGGATGCAGGAAGAAGTATGGATGTCTGGAGATGACTATTCTTCAGCCGTTGCTGATCCCTTAAGGGAATTCGCTGTCAAAATTGTCGACGATATGAATCAGAAGCACTGGGAAGATGTAAGACGATTTACGAATGTATACGCTGGGCTCGACGTCGAGGTACAAGCTCTTTACCAAATTAAGTTTCATAGTTTACCGCACATTAACAAATATGATGGCAGTCGATGGGACGAGACCGAACTGTGATCAAAACTGGAACAGAAACATTGAACAGTGCAGCAAATCCTACATATGTCTCTTCACTGAATGTTGCACGCAGTATATCTTAAATTTGCAATGTAAGTGAAGACTGCTCGTTAATTAGGATATGGCAACGTTTATTGTCTCACTTTCAAACCGGAGTTGGTAAGTAGTTTGCTTGGTGGACACTCGCATGTCTACTCAGTGAGCGCATGATCAACTCAATTAGACAGGATGCTTCTGGAATCCCTAGTCGTCGTCGTTTTGTGCTGTATAACTTGAAGATAATAGAACTGTATGGAAGCTTTGAAGTGTCTGGTAGAGTACTAATAATGAGGTTGTTTTCTTCAGATGTCTTGTTTTCAAAAGCTCGTTTTGAAATCGGAGGTGCAAATTTTGCATTGAGGACAAATTTGTTGTTGGGTATATTTCCGAGATACTCTTTCACCGACTGCGTAAGACCTCTAATCATATCTTCCACTGCCCTATGGATCAGGTCGAAGAAGTTAGCATGACTTGGGTTGATAGGCTGGGCTTCGACTTACGCGTCCTCACCAAAAGCAGGGAGATGCTGGAGATACGCATTCCCTTTGTGAGGGAGGTAACTGATGAAAGAGATGCGCGGTCCTCTTTGACCATGATGGCACAAATTGCGTGGGAGCGGGAAAGGAGCTACAACCCACCTGATGTAGCATTTGTTGGTAGTTTTAGTGTTTCATCAGGAGGTTAATTATCAATCGTAGGATGTTAACTTTGATCTTGATCTCAAAATTTTGAATTTATTCATGGTCCTACCAGCAGTTCATCATATCTATATCATCATGAGTAGTCAATAAGTCCTAGATCGGCTTACATCGAGCTTTTGGTTATGAAATCATGAAACACTTCACGACTTCGAGGTCTCTACCACCATTTATTTTCTGTTAAGTTTTTGAACTTGGAGTCCTCGTCAATTTTTCAAAGCATTTTAAACACCAAGCACAATGTGTGAACTTAGTTCTTACGCTTGAGTAATAACTTGTACGCTCAATCCCAAAAGATAGGGGATCGCACGTTTCTTCGCCTTTCTGTTTTTCAGAGTAAAAGTAAATCTCACTTATATCAAAGAACAATGCGTATCGAAGACGTATCTGCAAGTTTTGAGGTTGATCTTACTGGTGAGCTGACTCCTTACCTTCGTTTTTTGCGTAAAAAAAATCCGTAAGAAATCTCGTTAACTCCACACCCTCCTGTTACGCTGCACGAATACTTACTTTGAAGCCAGCGTCAGGGTTTCCATGATACAGCGTCAGCTTGGTCCTCGGATATAATTTCCAATGTCATCTGTCCAATGGAAGCTCTCCAATACCACGAAGTAACTGTTCGTGTCGAGGATTATGTATCTGTTACAATGCACCTGCGGCTGACGATGGCACTCGAGAAGCCATCAGCACGTTCGGTCATATCCTCGCGCGAAACGAACAATACGTGTCGCTAAATCCTGAGGAAAAATGCAACGACATATTCATGTCACCTGAATCGGCAATTTCGAAAACGACTTCTAAAATTGCACTCAGTCGTGAGTGTCATACTAGATGCGAAAACATAGGCGGTAGGACATCTACTCTGACGGTAAAGTGAGAGTGGATAGTGGGACCGAATAGGTTGGGCCCTATTTCGCGACTTGAGCGGAGTTCGGAATACCACTTACTTGCTCCTCTCCTTTAATGCTGAGAGACTTTTCTGTTGTGCTGCCCATGTGACAAGGTAGTATGCGGTAGATGGTCATTGTACACAGCGAGCGTACTTTATAGAAGAAAGAACCTCTTGACAGTGTTGATCCAAGATAAGGACGTGTTCACTAGGTTGAATGGCAACTTTGCATCTAAAATTTTTAAGAAACTTATGCCACAATGAACTAGTTAATTCGTGTATACCACATTAATTGGTGAAGATTATATTTTATGAAGTAATTCCAGAGAGTTATTTACTTGATGGGATCCATCGGAACCTCAATTGTTTACCTGAACCTTTTAAATTTCGTTTTGCTCATGAAACTCCATCGATAGTATACGCTACTAATGTTATAGTATGAACATACGGTGCAGTGGAATTCTATTGCATTGATGGCAACTCTCGATGTTGGACGTTTATTGGAGCTCCGTTGCAGCATCTGCCTACTGGAGCGCTCGCGCGTCTTGAAGTTAAACATAGAGAGCCTCGACGTTGAATGTAGTGCTCAAAATGTGGGTAAAAATTCGGTCTGTGCTTTAGCTCAAGATTACTTGATGCAAACTTAATTAAGTATCAAATAGAGATCTAAATAATTTAGATTATCATGTTTATAAATATTGATGATATATAATAAGTGAAATATATTTATTAAATTGTAAAATGGTTAAACCAAGAATCATCAATAGTAAGTTAGTCTAGTAAGCCAACACATGAAATGCAAAGTATAACGTGATTCATCGTTCAAAAAGTTACGTTTATGGTTGAAACACGCTCATGCGAATGAGTTTTATTACATTATGTGAAAAAACCTTACATAATACAAAAACCTTGGAATAAATAATCTCCAGTCTAAACAATTGTCCTAGCTAAAAGTAGCTAGTACATGGAGATACTTTTTAATCGGAGTTAAGCTCAACAATCTCCCAATTAACTTGTGTTTAAAATATAGTAAACTCTTTAATCTATATTATTATTCCGCGGGAAATTCTAAAATAAAACTTAACTCAAAGCATTTATTTACACAAGAATTAAATAGAAGTTAGTCTTAGATTTAACATGATAGAGTAATAACATTTGTTGAAGTTAACTTCGATTAAACCGTAGCCATCACATGATAGAATGATTATATGAATATATTACTGAGTATACAATGCTAGCAAACTCTACTTGTGCTCTCCATGCACAACTTGCATAGTAGCATAATGTCGCATGAAACTCACCAAAGAAATAACTTTGGTCAACGCTTTAGTTGGATTGAATTTACTGTCTATCTTCACTAACTCAATTGTTTTATCAGACATTTCTTGTTTGATAAAGTGACATTTGATGTCGATGTGCTTCACTTTGATATACTTAACCTTGTTTGCAGCAAAATGTAAAACGTTCTTGTTATCACAATGAAGATTTATCACGCCATGTGTAAATTTCATCTCGATAATAAAACTATTCAATCAAATAGCTTCCTTTGTCGTTTCTGCTGCTGCCACATATTAAGCTCCTGTTTTTGATTGAGTTACACACTTCAATAATGCTTCCACCGTCAAGTGTAAACATATACCTAGTTGTGAATCTAATTTGTCTACATCTTGTATGTAATTTTCATCAACGTAGCTCAAGAATGTGACATTATCTAATAAATAATCAAACAATATCTCATAATTCACAATATTTTTCAAATATATTGAAATCCATTTAATTGCTTCATAGTGAACTTTACTTAGATTTGACATGTACTTGTTTACCTCGCTCATCACAAGAGCAATAATATGCTTGCATTTATTGCTCTTGTTAGTTATCTACCAAGATGAACATGTCATCAACTGAGGGTATTAGAATCATGATATCTAACTTCTCATCATTCAACTTCTTCATGTATACATAAGGATCATATATGATTCATAAATATCCTTGTTACTTCATGAATTTATCAAATCGAATGTTTCATTACCTAGTAGCTTCATGCATACAATGATTTCAACAATCTACAACAAACGTCTCTTGACCTTTGAACTTAAAACCAACTGGTTCTCTCATGTAGATCTTCTACTCTAAATATTCATAGAAAAAAGCTATAAAATACTAAAATCTATGAAATTCAGATGATCCTACGTGCTACTCATGTGTGAATTTGATGAAAGTATCCATGATGCTTGAGCTTATAGATTGATTGTTTGTGACAACTGAAATTAGAAATTTGATTGCGCAAGTGGCAACTCGACACTCATGTTACAATGATTTCGGGGATTGTGGCATTTTCATAATTGTGATTCACTCTTTAGAAGGCTAAGTCCACAAATGAGAAATTATTTGAATTTACTAGAGTATGTGAACAAACCTTTCACAATACATAAACCTTGGAGTATTTAATATCTAGTTCCAGAAGACCGTCTTGGCTAAAAATAGCTAGTACCTGAAATTACCTCAACAAATCTTTATTATCAATAGTTGACTTTAATTTTCAATTAAAATTCTATGTTTTAATTTTGTGCACTTGTTTAAAGTAATACATTATTTTTTTTATGTAATTGTTGTAAATAATTTATTTTTAAAATTTAGTGCAACGTATAATGAAAAAGGAATATAGTTTTCTTTATATTCATCAATATATTAAATTTTCTATATTAATATAGAATATATTATAAATTATTTTTGATAAATATACACAAACACAATGTAATGATGAAAATTATACCTTTCTAGTTAATGAACATCAAATCAAATATGAAGATATACAAATAATTTATATGGTTTTTTTATGAACGTATATTTATTTATTGGCACTAAACATAAATATTTTTTTAATATGATATCATCAATTGTGAGATTAAATAAAGATCATTTGTAAATATTTTTTTCTTGTTATTAGATTTCATAGCAATGATGAGTTATATAATAAATTAATTAAAATATTAAATTCAGATCATGTTTTTAATCCTTTTTTTTTAAGAAATTATAGTCATAGTTATGAGAATGAAGTGCTTTGTTAGTGCCTCTACTAGTATACCAGATTTCCTTAGATTGCTTATAGCGTGGTCTAGAACAAGCATTCTGGTTTATATTTTAACAGGGGAGTATTAAATTTATGTAAGGCTACTCTCTTGAGATAAATTTGTACATGCATCCATATGAAGATTTTGTAGCAAAATTTAGCTACCCGTCCACATAGTTCTCAAAAGAACGGTCTTAAAATAAGTTACATAAGAATTTTGATAATAAATTGCAAACTTTGATATATAATATCATTAATGAAAATTTTATATATTTTGATATTTTAAATAGAAAAATTTCAATTTTTTAGCATTTAAGTGATTGATTCAAATACCTTCTATGAAAATCTGGAACTTGTTGAACTTGGATTCTAAATTCAGCAAATATTCGTAAAAAATTAATACTATTGCTAGAGTCTTGAAAATTTAAATAAATATCGGCATGTGAGGTGATTAGAGAGGTTGTGGCTTTGTATCTTATTTTAAATTCTTCACAAAATTGGTCTAGGGGGCGCAAGTATATGTTTGACAGCAAAGGAAATATATTTTCTAACAATTTCATAATCTTATGAATAAAATTTTTATGGTACATGTGCAAAGATATATGCCTCATATATTTCATGCATATACATCTAACCAATAAAAAATGATCAAACTTAGTTTCTTGGTTAATAAAGAAACAAGTTGAACAATCTGGATTATATTATCTGTATGTTAAATGATTGCATAAATTTAGTGATTTTGGTTTAAAAATATGAACTATATATATATATATATATATATATTAGTATTTTAGATTCTGATAGTTAAATTTTCAATGATTTAAGATTTATTTTTCCATAGCAATCTACTTCTAATGAGCTAGATGCACATAATACTGTTTGTCTTGTCATTTGATTATACAAGAAGTTATAGTGCAATATGTTTACTTTTACTAAAAATAATATGTAAAAAAACAAATGGTCATCGTTAGGTTACTTAACTTTACTAAAAAAGTCCACTTTAAAGGTAAGAGGGGCATTCTGTAGGCTCTTAATTTAAAAACTGAAGTATTAAAATCAACTCTATTTGAAGTTTCTACTTACAAGATAGCTATATTCATAAGAAGTCCGCTTTTGGTCAGCCAGTTGTGTGATACAAATTACGCACTATTAAACCTAATCAATACGGAAAAAAATTTGTAAGACTGAAATTTTTGAGTTAAGCCAGAAATCAACAGCGGCTGAATTTTAACCTAAATAAAAAAGTAGACACATTTATTTTTATTATGACATCTATATATATGAAGAAATAAGATATGATGTAGAAGTGTATGCCCAGAGTAAAAGTTTTAATCGATACCGAACCATCAACTGAAAAATAGTTCTTCCAAACTTATAAAAACTAAATGTTTAAAACGTGCTAGAAGAATTTGTGGCTTTTAGTCAGTCATTAAGCTGCACATAACAGATTTTTTAAGTGCAGAATTTTCGAATGGTGCAGAATTTTCGAGCCCTCTTGAAATTCACAAATTACTGGAAAGTAAAGAATCCCGGTGCTAGCCAATCGCCGAGGCCCAGCTCCGTACTGACTTGCAGTAGAGAACTGCGAGCTGCCAGCCAAGGCTGGCGGGAATGGCAACCGGGTTCTCAGGGAGGGAAGGAGCGCGCAGGGCTGACACCAGGAGCGAGGGACGTTTGCTCACAAGCAAACAAAGATTCAGTCAATCGGCTTCCACACCGAGCCTAGAATTTGATTCTCTTCTTCATTCTAAACAAATAACGTTGCAAGGCACGGTGTGTCTGACCGCGCCTTGTCTGACTCCCGCGCCTCTCAACGCTAACTTCGTAAGCGGCAGGGCAGGACCGGTCCTGGATCCCTCACCTCAACCCCTCTTGCTGTTCGTTGGGAGCTCCATTCCGTCCTGTGCGTGACGGGAGGACTGATGATCTCGAGGTGGTGAGCTGGAAATAGCAGAGAGAACAGAGAGTCCAGTTCATACAAATGTGGGCAAATTCTGAGTTCCGCGATGTGAATCACTCGCTCCTCCTCTTGCGCCGCTTTTTTCTTATCCTTGCCTCGTCTGCCATTCGGGGCTCAACCCAGACCGGCAGCCCAGGCCCGGGCGGGCCTCCCCTCCCCTGCATTCCCCTTCCCTTCCCTTTATTTCGGTTCCTGTAAGAGGAAAAGTATGCAATGAGTGAATGATTACAACCACCGCAGCGATAGTGAGAAATAGACACTCTATGCATGAGCTGCCGCTTGCTTCGTTGCTTGTTCGGTTCTGTCACCTTCTTCTTCCATCTTCCTTGCCACACTGCCTCGGGCGGGGCGGGCTGGCACTGCTAGTGCTCAGCTTCGGACAAGTTGTCGTTGGAGTTGCGTGACGAGGAGGGCGCTGGGAGGAAGATCACGCGAGGAACGGAAAAGAGTGTCTGACTGGAGCGGAGGAGTGGGGAGGAGGGAAGGGTTGGGGAAGGGAAGGGAAGGGATGGGATGAGAGGAGAGTTGAGTTGTCGATGAGCAAGCGCAAGGGAGCAGGAGGAGGAGGAAGAGGAGGAATACCTAGTGAAGTGTTTGTATATCCGTGGTTGGAGCGGGAAGGAGAAGAAGAGAAGAAACGAGAAGGAAGGAAGGAAGGGTGGGAATGATCGATGGGATTATGAATGCCCGGTCACCTTCCGATGAGGGAGATTCGGTAGGCAGTGTCGCCAGCTGGCCAGAATGAAAGAAGGGGAATTAGACGATATGATATGGTGGAGTTTGTTTCGCTGGGCAGAAAGTATTCTCGGAGTGTCGGAGGTAATGACGGAGTGCTTGTGATCGTCTAGTTTCTGGGCACATCAGCATCAGCCAGACGAAGGCCGGGAGAGAGTTGGCATGTGTTTGGACCTGGAAATTCACGCCTCCGGTTTGTGCGTGTTACGTTGCCCACGTTGAGTTGAGTGTGTTTGGTCGGAAAATTCAAGACAGTTTGATTCTCGGTCGCAGGAAGGAAGGAGATGGAGTGAGGCCTGGAGCTTAGTATACAGTCTTGGAAGAGAGAAGATGATGACGTCGTTATGCCCTCTTGTTTGTTGGGCGTGGGAGTAGTCAAGCTGCATCGCAACCTCGGCTTTGCTCGTTGCGATTGGAAGTGTGTCATGGCCGTCATCCGTCGTCACAGCTCGAGCTTGCACCGAGAGTGATTGATTCCACCGAATTTCAAGCCCGTTTTTTGGTCACACTATCACTCAATTCACTTTACCTTTGGGCGATCATCTTTTAAGGACGCGAAGAAAGATCGCAGGACTCCGACAGAATTACGTGGAGAAGTTGTCAGGGATCAAACTTGAATTGCGAAACGCTAATCTGATGTGACCAAATCAACGCATTTGTGATTTGATGCGTTTGATTCAATTCCGGACACGATGGGGATGGTAGTCCCCGTTGGCACAGTTTGAAACATCAAGAGCACGGTAATTTTGGAGATCAGCATGTCAAGATTCAATGGCCCAGCTGCCATGGAATTGTGTCAACAACACTCCGGAGGTTCCATATCTTCTATATCTTATGGTTCCCAGGGCGCTCTCGGTGGCTACGTCGACCTTGATGGCGCGAACTCAATTCCGAGTCCATCCTCTGGTGGTCTTGGAAACCTGAACACCTCGTTGGCCTCGAACATCACCGCTGACTTTGGTGGCTCGTTTCTTGAATCATCCTCGCAGAACTCCTTAAACCGCGCTTTGGGATCTGCCACTGTTATACCTTTTTCGCAATCACAAACGCAATCACAGACTCAAGCTGGGTCTTTGATTGTAGCAGACGAGTGGTCTGGTACCAGCAATGGAATTCCGGGAACCTCCAACACTCAGCCTCAGCAGCAGGTTGTGCAAAGCTCGTCTTCTCACGGTCTTACACAAACTCCCTCTGGAGCATCTGGATTCAACTCGACCAAGCAGCCTCACGCCCAGCCACAACAACAAGCTTTTGACAGTCACCAAAGTACTAAATTGCAGGGTGTTCAAGATATGTTGGCGAACCAACCATCGAACACAGAAGGAGATGGTTCAGATTTGACTTTCTCTCATAATAGAGGTGTAAGTTCTTTCCTTTCTCCAGGTTTTCAAAGCGGAAACCAGCTACTCAGCTTCTCAGGCACGGAGAAGGGGAAGGGGCAAAATCAGGAGTCAGGTTTTATGGGAGGACAGAGTCAGAATTTACAGTCTGGGCTGCTCCTGCAGCAGAATCATTCAGCAGCTGATGGTCAGGAGCTCAACTACCACAGTTCAAGCATTCCAAGTGGTACAGGACGGATGGAAGAGCCGGACTTGTTGAAAGGAGTTCTTGATAATCTGCACAAAGGGAATGCGCACATAGGTGGTGTGCAAGGGCAGCTCGACGCCGCCACAAGCTCATTGATTCAGGGTCAAGATGCGGGGAATTTCGCTGCAAAACTCCACGGCGGTCAAGCATCAAACCAACAGCTCAGTTATAGAGGGCAGTTGTTGTCCCCTCAGTCCAGTTTGCATGGACAACAACCTTCAAACCTGCAACCTCACCGAACTCTTGGAGGTCAGGGACAAGGTGGCCTCTATCAGTCTCAACTTCGAAACCAGTCTCCACAGGCTAATGGTCAGCAGATAAATTATCACAGACTTTTGAACACTGCCAGTCACTTATCTTCACTATCAGGACTGTCAAATGCCCAGGCAATTCTTCATGCTCAAGCGGGTGGAAGTCACCTTAGCCAGTACCAAAATCAGGTTGATGTCTATGCTCTGTGGTGCCCTCTTAGAAGCTTTCTCTTTTTTGAGACTGCCGTTGTGATCACCCTAGATTGAAGCGTTACCTGGGATTGTCGCATAGATAATAACAACCAATCAAGATATAGACTCGAAGAAGAGTAGAGTCTCCGAAGGCTTCAAAATATCAAAATGGAATAATAAGATACCTTCACAAGATACACCTGAATATTGTGAGGGCTACATATGCTGAAAGTTTACTACTCCAGTTACAGATCATCAAGAACTTGAGGGAGGAGTTGCAAATGAAGTCGTAACAATCAGTATGGTTCTTGCAATCTTATTTTTTGCTGTTCGGGTCCTGGCAGAGAGCTTCTTGATAAGTGGGACTACAATTCTCACATCAAGTTTACGCTGCTTCAAAACTACGATCTTTGAAAGATTGATATGCCCATAGCAAGGGGAGCTTCGCAGCTGCTTGATAAATTTATCTCGCACTTCTCAAAGTTCTAGATAGAGTTTCGTAGGTACTAATAATCACTTCATTTCACGGCTCAAGTAAACTTTGTTGTCCTTTCCACAGGCTCACGGTGTGAACCAGCAGTTGTCTTTCAATCAGCAATCATTGCAGCAGTCAAGACAACCGCAACCTGGAAATCAACAACTGTTTCATACAGTTCCTACGTACCAAACTGGACAACAACAAAATTTCCAGGTGTGTTCATAAGTACTCAGTTCAACTTAAGTTGTTCTGAAGTTTGGGACATGAATTGTCGTTGAATCAGCATCACGTACCCGGCCGTGGATGTTGTAAGTAGCGGTTCAATAATACCATCTGTAATTCCAACCGCAACCATTGAACAATTACATGGCAGATCGGAGGCGTCTCCTGTTACTTTGTTACATCTACCTACGGGTAGCAATAGTTTGTCAACGTCAGATACGTTTGCTATGTAAGAACGAACGAAGTAAAGCTCAGAAAGGAAGTTATTTGTTGTGGTTGACAACAACTTCCGTCCAGCGGTCTTAGTGTGGTGTACCCGAAATACCTGCAATATATTCCAACTATAGTTTGATGCAAATCGAGGGCACCCGGTTCACTCCGAATGTTCCGATTTACTGCAAACAGGAATGCATTGTGACGATAGATAGAACTTTCATTGACTTCAGAGGTTACTTTCAGTGGACTGTTCATCCCATATAACCACGATGGTTATATGGCTGCAACATCAAGTTGAATCCAACCGGGTGCTCCTTGATCTCCAATTCATTCCACTTCACGACTTACCTGTATGTTTTCAGCGATGACTGCAAGAATTGTTCATAAAATACACGATTTGATATGATACGTATTCAACTCGTCCGTTTTATAATTCTCGGAGACGCATTTTCTTAAATGTTTGTATTTGTCTCTTGCCCTGCTTTAACAAGCTTGAGACCATCTTTCTAGTAGGGGTAATTTACTTAGTTTTTCCAGGTCCGCTGCCCAGTCTTTATGAGGTGGGCGTGAATGCCGGGTTGAACATTTCTTTTTCTGTGATTTGATCACACATCACTGCCAAATCCATGTAGCGGAACGATTGAGTTGGTTGACAAGAAGCTCAACAAGGTATCTTCTTCTGCTATCTCTAATACCTTTTTCTCTAATATCTTCTTTCTTATCGTTTTGTAGTTACAATCCGGTGCAGCCAATCCCAGACCACATGCCCAAAGAGCATTGGCAGAGCAGATTTTTGCTCAAATGCAACCAAGGATGCAAAGTCAAATTTCACAGAATATGAAAGCTGGAAGCAGACAGTCATTTCAAACGGCTCCGACAATTCCTGGTGCTAATGCAAGGGAATTGACCGATGGAAGTGTTAGAGGTTCAGTAAACATCGCCTCAACATGCAGCCATGTTCTAATGCAGTTCGTCCAAGAGCAGAGGAAACGTCCAGCTGTAAGTTTTACTGAATACGATTTGATGTCAATCTGAAGAGATTGGAGTGATTGGAGTATTGACGTGACGCACACAGGTGATTCTAAACTGAAAAATCTCCACTGACAGGACAACAACATAGGCTTCTGGAAGAAACTTGTTCATAATTTCTTCGAACCAGGAGCAACCAAGAGGTGGTGTCTTACAAGCTACAATTCACAGCCCGTCGGCAGACATGCGCAAGGATTGTTTCCAATGGTTTGTCAACGACAATTTTCTCTTTGATGAAGTCTCCCTGTTATGACGGGTCAGCTTTGCTCGTTGTCGTGTGACACTTCCTGCAACCAACGGAAACTCTGTTAGTCTCGTTTGTCTATCGCTCGCAAAGAAGAACATAGAACATGGTCATACCTTAAGTTTGAAGTTTGGACAGGTGGATTGGTTTAATTCTTCGTTTATAATTTTTGGGTGCAGGAATATTGGTTTTGCAATCTCTGTCAAGTGCAGCCTGGTCGAGGATTTGGTAAGTTGTGCAAGTCCCAAGAATTTCCGTTTCTGCCCTGTAAATATCTTGAGATGACACCGGATATTATATGATGCCACATTCTAAAAGGAAACACATTGATCTCATTGTCTTTGTACAGAGTCGACTATGGACATGCTGCCCAGGCTTTTAAAGATACAGTATGACAGCGGTTTGCTGGACGAGTTGCTCTTTCTGGATGCCGCTGAAGAGTAAAGTTCTAATATTTCTCTGAGATGTTCTTCAAATACGCCCACTTTTTATTGGCTGTTGTTGATAGTTCATCCTTTTTAGACTGCCAAATATCAGCGCTTTTCATGTGTACTCCAAACGTTTCGTAATCTTCTCTTATTTTAACAGGACTCTCAGTTATCGGAGGTTTCAGCCAATAGACCATTTACTTGTCTTAATTCGTATAAACTCAGAAAGCAAAAATTAATAGACAGTTTCGGGAGGAAAAATATTACGGAGATCAGAGATCCAGAAAGTTTTGTTTTGTACACCCGTGGAGGCACCTTGTAATAAGTTCAAAGCTTCCGTTGTGCCTTTGTGAAAGTTGTAGTATCTCTCGAGCGAAGGTTTTCTCTTGATTTCTTTGTAACGGTGGTTATCTACACGTGGAACTCTGTAGACCCCCGAAATTGAGGACTTTTCCCTTATCTTTGTAATTGATTTTCTGTCATCTGTACTGGATGCAGGAGATGTGTCTACTCGCCCTCTGGCGTGATGTGTCTGGAGTACCCAAAAGCAGTACACGAAGCTATATTTCCTGAGCTAAGGGTAATTATTTATATGTATTCATCCTTTCCATATACCATCATTGTCCTCAACACGCTGCGTCGTTTCAGTCGCCTGTAGACGTACAGGCTTGATGGTTTTTGTTGTGAAGCATTCGGTGGAGTACTACATCGTTTGGAATATCACGGAGGATCTTTTTTGGACTGGAAGTTACTTTGATGTGGATAGCTATCTCCTGGCCTCTTGCAACCTCATCCCAAATTGATATTTTATCAATATGCCTAGGTGGTTCGATACGGGCGACTCCGGGTGAGCTTTAGTTCTTCGTTTAAGGTGTGTATCTACAACCCTTTTCGCGAGTTTAAGCTTTGAGATGAGCATTTAATTAAACTGGCTAGGTAGACCTCAAAGTAGAACTTGGTTCTCCACATTGGAACCCTTAAATTTTCTAGAAAAGGCTCTGACTGTTTTCAATGGGTGCGCACAATAAGCAGATGAGGACATGGGAATTCTGCACCCAGAACCATGAAGAAGTCGTTCCACGCAAGAATCTCATACAGCAAGTGAGTCCCCCATTATAGCCACGTCAAGTCGCTGTTCCATGTTTTATATCTAGAAAGGACCACAAGAAGAACCAATTGAGGAGATACACCGATCAGAACTCCAAATGAAGAGATGTTGTACCAATCTTCACCAGTAATGCCCAATGAATTTTTTAAATTGGGTATGATGAAGAATCGGTCAAAGCTGTTTAGGGTGGTTGACTTGGTGTTTTCTTGTAGCAAGTCTGTGCATACCATTGACAAGTGCACTGTGGGTTGGACGTGAGCAGGCGCATCATCTTGCGAGCTTAGTCAACGAATATGATGCGGAGGATTTTGATAAATCAGCTGAAAACCTCACCAAGCACTGCAACTTGTAAGGCTCCTGACTCTTCTGCATTTCGGAAGGATTTAATGCATGTTACTCTAAAAGTAGGGCCGAGTTCGAGTTACCAAATTGGATCTCTCGGGTGTGATGACTTAAGGTGAAGAATAGGCTGACAGAATTAACTGGTAGCTCGGGCACCAATGAGCACGACAATAAAGCGAGTTGCTCTTGTCTTTAACTTCTAATGATAATAGATTGAAGTTTTTAGGTCTATGTCCAGTGTCTGGATCAAGGCCTAAGTATAATGCTCTACCTTTCCCATATTCGATTCAGCAACTCCCCTGGAGCTAGTTTTATTTGTCAGTGTAGTGCAAGCAACCATACGTGATGCACCTGACAGAGTCTGCTTTGTACTTATTTCTTGCGGAGGCGGGTCCTTGGAGGTTGATTTTTCTATTCCTTGCCATCTCTTCTCTGCACCTTCAATTCGAGTATCAGTCTTCACCTCACTATAAAGCTCCGAATGCGTCATAATTTCTTGTATTTCCATATCTGAGGACGATACTTCGGTGGTTGACCTACAATATCAGCAGTGTTGCTTTGGGAGATTTGGTTGAGCCTATGATTTTGACCTGTTGTCTGCAAAGCAGATCGTACGCTCAAAACTCGTGAGAAAATCATTACATTGCCTTGATTTGTATCTTATGAGCACCACTGATCCCATCTTATTTGTATCAGATTTACAGCTACGGCGAAACAACTAGCTGCAAAGCTTGAAGCACCAATCATCAATGATCTAGGATTCTCCAAGCGATATGTCCGATGCTTGCAGGTACAATTTTTTGAGATTTTACATCGATTAACTTGGAGCTTGGTGACTACTTCTTCGCGAGTCCTACTTTTCACAAGAAGCTGTTTTGTGTATATTTTTGGGTCTCCCTTTGTCTAACATCGCGAGTATCCATTTGTCATTTTTCTTTTGTTGGCTCTTCATTTGAGCAAGTGGAGAGTTACGTCGCAGTCCCATCTTCATAATTGTTATAGTATTTAGAGAAAAATTCACGCAGAGTGTTGTAGACACGAAAAAGTGCCTCATTTTGTCTCTTCAGATGCTATATCTTGAGCAATGTACGTTTTTCTTTGCAGATAGCAGAGGTCGTTAATAGTATGAAAGATCTTATGGACTATGAATGGAAGCTTAAGTGCGGCGCAATAGGTAAGGTTCTCGAGTTCCAGGTCCTTTTCATCTACTTGGATTAGGAGTTCCCAGGACGTCGTTTCTGTGGCTGTTGTTGACGTGCAAATTGGACGGAGTCAGTTCCAACAGAACATTCACGAGTTTTCACCCGTTGCTAACGAGAGTACTTACGTTTTGAGTATTTGTTTTGTGCAGCGAGCCTTGCCACATTTCCGAGTACCTCCAAATTGAGGATGGAATCTGTTATCACAGGGTTGCCTACCTTGTCTCAGGTCATCGATCACATTACACAATGCTCATACAGTGGAGGTCCTTCACCAAGGCAGCAATCGTCAACTCTGAGCAGTCCTCAAATGTTCACCAATGTTCAAAACCAAGGCTCTACTGCGATCAGCTCTTCGTCGCCTTTGTCTCGCATCTGGGACCCGTCTGTGTCAAAGTTGTCTTCACCTTCTCCACGCGCGCAAATGGATTCTCGGAGTGTATTCAATCAGATGCAACCGCCTACGAGTCAATTCAATCCTCTCGGAAGTTCTCAGGTTCATCTCGGCAATGTCACTGGCAACTCACATGGGACATCTCAGTTCCAGTATCCAAGTTCGTCCCATCTTTCCCAGATGCAAGGGCAACTGCCGTCTTCACCCTCTGGACAAGGTCATCAGTCCCAAGGTTTGTATCAGGCTCAGCTGTACCAGCAACTTTTGGCGAAGCAGCAAATGAGCCAACAGCCCGGTCAAATTCTGTCGCAGTCGCAGTCTTTGAATCAGACAGGACAACAGAGCCTGCCTGGAACTCCTCAAAGCGAAATGAGCGATATGCGCTCATGAGTGATGAGCAGATGTTTCCTTGAGCGACGACTTGAAAGCAGTACGGTCATTGGACATCAACAGAATACTGTGAGCGAGACCTTACATCAGTTTCTTGAACGAACTATTAGCGACCGGATCGAGATGGTAATATACGTCAACTTGGAGCCCTGCTTTTCAATTACAATGAAGAAGAAGATGCATGTCCCCTGTGGATGGGGTCATCCACCCAGGTCCCTCAACGGGACCTACGTACCAAGCATGAGATGGATGAAGGGTTGATCTAGCACAAAGACGAAATTTGCAATTGCCCTCCTCACTCCTGAGCCTTGTATAATAGATGTCGATACTCGTAGGATTAGTTTGCTTCGGTTGTAAACCCTGTTTTCGTTGAGTTACTGGTTCTTGGGCGTGTCGAATTCATGCCAGTTTTGCAGACAGATAGGTTTTGGTAACAGGGTCAGTTTCGCATCAGACTCAATCCTGCTCTATCAGTGGGACGGTAGAGGGGGTCCGATAGACATTTTCCCATTAGAGTTGGATTCAGGAGTGTCGTTCCCTCTTTCTGACAGGGAGTGATAATTTTGGACAAATAATCAGACTTTTTCACAGTCGCCTGAATCCCCTACAAAGTGATATAGACCGAAATAAAGTCTTGAATTGGACTGAAAGTTTTTCTAGCGTCGGCTGTTTCGTGCACTTGCTCTTCGTGGGGGAGATGGTCGAGATTATTTTCCCTGCGTTTTATGCAGTAGGAGGTAGAGCCAATGATGAATCATTTTTGCTTTATGTGGAGAAGTGTGGAGATGTGTTGGTACAAGGTTTTACGTACAAGGAAGAAACGATTCTGTGACTGAAAATGAATGTTCATTTTCAAATATTCGAATGTTTTGAAGATAAATCGTGACTGCGTTTGTAGCAATGTCTGCTATATTTAAAATATTTTCTCAATGATGGAGCATCAATCAATGATATATATAATAATATCAATTATCGCATGTGGACGCGATAATTGATATTCAAAGATGATCTATGTTATCTAAATTGCTGGATGGTTTTTGCTAAAGCATCTATCATAATGCCGTTAGAACGTTTCTTTAACTGCAGACTGTAACGCGGCGATTTTACAGTGTACGATTTACTGGTGAATTATCACATGTTCTGTGATGAAGTCGCTGGTACACAAGACAGCAGAATGAACAGTTTAACATATTGAACTATTTCTTAAAATGTTTGAGAATATGACAATTTGGAAGTTGAAACTTTTATACAGAAGTGGCTTAAAGATATCCACAGTTACATATACACAACCTACTCCTCTTCAAATCTAAAACTGAGGCTTTTCCTAATCCACAAGCCTTGAATTGGTGGCCCATGTACAGGAATTTCACTAAATAAATTGGAAATATTTTACGAGGCCTACGCAGACGACGACTGTTGCTCTACGCTGCGCATCCAATCCACAATGGCCTTGTTGGCTGCCTCTGGAGCTTCATCGTGAGGGCAATGGCCTGCTTGAAGACGCTTCAAAGTTGCAGAAGGATAGAGCTCCAACATCTTATCCGCCTTGGAGGCAGTCATCCAAGGATCCAAATCACCCCACAGCAGCAAAAGTGGACACTCGAGCTGCGTCAGAAGCGTGTTTAGAGACAAATCTACGGTGGGCTTCTGCAACATTTGCGACATCAACCTGTAATAAACCTCGCCGGCGTTCGGATCACTCGCAGGTTCTAAAATCGAATTTATCAAATAATCGTCGACATTCGTTTGGTCCTTGTAGACGCTCTTGAGCACGGATTTCACCCTGGCGGGCTGCTTCGCCTGCCAAAATGTCACAGCGATCGCTCCCCGCCTGAACGCGGTTTTGATATTCGTCACCAGTCGCTGGAGCGCAGATTCTTCTTCCACCGGGACCACCGTCGCGGCCTGCTTCGAACCCGAATCTGCAGACTCGAACTGACCCGACGGGTTCAGAAGGGCCAATCCTGACACGAGGTCCGGCTTCGTTGAGGCAGTCAGGAGCACAGTGAGGCCGCCGATGCTATTGCCCACGAGCACCGCAGGCTCCTGCACCACCTCGCGCACGAAATCCGCCACCTGGTCCCTCCACAAGAGAGTATCGTAGTCCACCAGAGCCTTCTCCGTCCACCCGAACCCCATCAAGTCCATCGCGAACACTTTGAACCCATTCTTGGCCAATTCCGGGATATTGTACCTCCAATGGTACACGGAGGCGCCGAATCCATGGATCAGCACGATGGGCCGGCCCTCGCCCTGAACGACGTAGTGTACCTTGTGGCCCCGCCATTGCCAGAAATTGTACCCCTCGGGTTTGAATGCCAGCGCCTCCAACGAGCTCGCGCGCGCCGCGGCTCCCGACGATTCCAGCGTCTGCTCGGCCATCGCCGCGCAGCACACCAGCACGCCCTGCTTCACGAACGCTCCTCTCGACACTTTGGCACCTCCCGCCTCCGCCTCGAACTCGGCCTGCACTCTGCTCCCCAAGATGGCGCTGCGCGCGATCGGGCCCCCCTTTTGAAGTCCATGCCGCACTCCTCCCGCAGCCTCCACGACGCTCGTCGCTCCCAGCCCCCGAGGATTCATTCCCTGCAACGCGTTCATTTCCTTCGTTCCGACGGCAATGCTGATCCGATTCTACCAGCCAGCCTTCGATTCCTTCGTCGCTTGCTTGCTTGCTTTGATTCCTTCAAGCAAACTTCACCTCAGCTCGCCTCGGGAGCTTCCCTGTCTTTGCTTCCTTGCTTCGCCGCCTGCCTCTCTCCCGTCCGACATTGACGTACGAGGCTCTTATACACTGCTTGCGCACTTCCGATGCTGGGCGCGCTGCCCAGCCTGGCATTCCGCCCGCCTTCATCTTCGACCAACGATGATTCAATGACATGGCCCTCGTCTGCACCACATGAATTCATGAGCTTCGCGCTCGAGAGCTGCTGTAGGGGAAACTATCGTGTCGTCGTTTTCCTTCTCCATGAGCCGAGCTTTTACTTTGCCACGTCCTATCTTGTCCTGTCGTGTCCTTCCCCCTCCTTCTCTTCTCCTCTACTCTTCCGCTCCACTGAGATCAGTCCGACCCTCCATATTCATGATCCATGATCAGCTTCGGTCGGTCGGCCTCTGCCCACTTGCACACTACAAGGCGAGAAGAGAAAGAAGTGAGCGGCCGCCACCCTCACACGTGCTGATATTGCTGGACGTAACGAAGTAAGTAGCCATGGTAAATGTAAGCTTCTCGTCAACTCTTCAAGCTGTCATAGCCTTTCAATCATCTCGAACTTCAGGCCAGGAACAGGCTTGGGCATGCACCTACAAAACTCAGGTTCCTTGACCATAGCTTTCGAGTTTTTGAAGTCTTGTCCATATTCACGGGTCATCTTAAGTCATGAGCTTATGTGTGCCACACTTCAAGTGAAGAAACGGTGAACACAGGAGTGTCTGTTGACTACAGCGAGAGAAGAAAAGAATTTGTAAGATTGAGGAGTTTTCCTAGATGAATTTTCTGGAATCCAATTATTCCTTGGTTCTCTTTCATTGTGTGAAGAAATTCTCTTGATTTCCCTCGGAGCTCGTAGATCGACAGGTGGATATATAACAGTGTTCATGGTTTAGTAGTGGTGCAGGTCAATGTGAATTGCGACATTTTGAAATTGTGTCATGTGAACAGTTTTGAATCTCGTACGCTCAGGAGTGTATTGCACTGTGCTGCCGAGACCTGCATCACATCTACAAATCATACCTGAACCCGATCCATGACCAAGGATGGTGCACTTGTGGTACCCATACCCGAAGAGACAAACTCGATATCCTATCCATACCCAAGTCACGTTCCAGATGATACCCACTTGGACTCGAAAAGATGAGATTAATCCATCAGTTTTTATTTAGCTCTTGGTTTTTGGTGGAACCTCAACATGGGCAGATGGGATAAATCCATCAATTTTTTTTATTTAGTTTTATATTTCAGTAACATGGACATATGGAAAAAATCCATAAGTTTTCTATTTAGCTTAAGGATTTTGGTGGAACCTTAACATGGATGGTAGACAGTAGCATTGAGCATAGAATACATGAAATAATCAGGCTTGGAAGGGTGCAGCTAGTTGCGTTTTTTGTTATCGTGTTCCCTACATCCGAGAAATTATTCTTCAATTTTGCGCTAAATGCTGAAATGGCAAACACATAAAGTACTAGTTGAGAAAGTATGTGGAATTCGTTTTGATGGGTCTTCCACCAATATAAAATTTTGTATTTGGATAAGAGTGTGCTTTCATCGTTGCAAATCTAGTTGTTGAGCTCCGTCATCAAATCAAAATCAAGCTGCATGTCATCGGCGGGAGTCTTCTTGTCGAAGGTGCTATCACTCTTAGAACTATATTTAATGCGCGATTGGATTGGATTGTCATGTTTCTATTTTTTATGGGGTCGCACACTGTCGTCGCCGATGACAGAGTGAATCATATGATCTTTCATCATATTTTCTAGATTTTTTTGCCAAGCTCAATATCGATGAAGTCGAAATTTGTCTAGAAAACACTTGGTTTTAGGATTAAGTAGAGCGGCAATGACATGAATATTGCTATTAACAAATTTCTGCACGATTAATTCGACAAATTTTGTCTTCAAGACGATGAATGCGGATGTGTACTTCTTCAATGTGATTATTGTGTCATCTTTCTCCTTGATGGTGACATCTAACGTAACAATCTGGCAATGTTTTAGCAGATGAAGTCAGAAGTAGAGGACATGGTGTAGCGTAGGCTCCGCAAACACCTCTAGAGCTAGGATGGCTTCCTGAGAGGGCACTAGAAAAGTAATGAACTCCTTGTGAAGCTCGTGATCAATTTTGTGACCTTGGAAACCAGTCCACGACCTTGTGCACATAAGATCTCCATCAACTCTGGGAATGACTCGTCAACGCTAATCATGCAACAGAGGGCAAAATTTCATCATCTCACATTTTTCTGGTTGAGTATCTTTGCAATCTCATCTTGAAAATTTGCTTGTTTGAAGTATGTCACGAGAGCTTTGACCTAATCAATAGTATTAAAAAATTCAAGGGCTAGATCGTAAAATTCATTGAATTTAGTAGATTTTTTGATTTCAACCATCCGAGTCTTCTTGTTGATAATCGTTGTGAATATGGTACCAATGATATGATCACAACACGGGATCCAACCATAGATATTGGAAATGTCATCTATAGAGTGCATATTGGAGCCTTGATTGGTGACAACCATGACCTCATCATAGCTATTGATGTTAGATTTTGTGAAACATCATCGTATTTTTTCACGACGTCAAATCTGTGATGCGGCCCAGTAAACAGACAGCATGCAAGTGTGTGATGATATAGAGTGAACTCGTCATCGATGATATGTGCAGTGAGCGATAGTAAAGAACTCTTGTTGATGTCATCGATCCAAATATTGGTTGTGCTTCCAATCCAAATTCTTTTCGTTAGATTTGACTCCAAGGCGGCAGTTAATATCTCCCGTTCAGCACTAGATCGGATTTGCAGATTTCTACTAATTTTGGTTTGATCATGATGGATGTTGTCCACAAGCATGCCCACCTTCAATTTGGCGTCAATGTTGAGTACGATCTGCATATAGTTCATGAAACCGATGCCCTTCATAATAATGGACTCATGTCAACGACGCACATATCCGCCAACGCTACGGTGATGAGTTTCTTCTCAATTGTAGTCGCATCGCGGCGCGTTGTCGTAGCTCTCATCACTTGATATGTCGTTGCAGGCGGACATGAGTGTTTGGTTCCGTTGGCTGATCTGTATTGATAAACAATGAGGCATTTGTTATAGCATACAAAAGGATTATCACTATAGCAAAGATGTTTGCTAGTCTCCTTGCTTGCAACAAACAAGAACAATGAACAGACATCCCCCTAGCTTTACAATTTTTCACCTGATAATAGGGATCATCATCTTTTTGCAAATCCGCGGTGATTTTTGTCTTCAGGGTGAGCATATCCTTGAGCGTCATCTCAATTTTCATCATCAACCATGACAAGCGTTGGGAGTGGCGGATGATGTAAACAAGTGCAATCAGCACTCTGTGCAGTGAGCAAGTAGTCAAGAAATCCTTCACGACTAGTTTACTAAGTAACCCTAATTATCCATTTAGTAGAGTTAAATTGATCTCTACTCAAAACCATCGTACTAAAAGTCCAACCCGGACCCAAACCAAACCGTTCCTAGCTTGGTCCAAAAACTAGAGATGAGCACTTAGTCGACTCACTGTCGACAAGTCGACTCGGTCGATACATCGGCAGAGTTGACTAATCCTTGGTGTTGAATCGACTAAGTCGTCGACTGAGTCAACTAAGTCAAGGGGCAGCCACGGCATTAGCGGATGCCCGACATCGGCTAATGTCGTGGTATGCAAGTGCTAATCCGTATTGGAGAGTCTAGTACAGTCCCGTCTGTGTCTGCTACTCAAGTGCAAAACCGCCGGTTTTGCACTTGCGTACGAACGGGCTTGCCGCTTGCACCTTGAGCCCTTGTGCGGGACTGCGTCACAGCTCTTCGGACTTGATCTCATCCGCACTATCATTCTAGTTTTATAATCTGCTGCTGACGATCCACATGGACGATCACAACACATTCTAGTGTTATAATCTGCTGCTGACGATCCGCATGAACGATCACAACACATTCTAGTGTTATAATCTGCTGCTGACGATCCGAATGGACGATCACAACAACGTGCCGCTCGTGGACCTCATTGCTGAGTCATCTTGTGTCGATAGCGATGATGAGATCCCTTCCTGCTACTTTGCACCAAGCACAATTGACGGCGGAAAGACGACTTGTTATGGGAGAAAAACGAAGAAGAGGAAGAAGTCGTCGTGGGTCTTTGACCACTTCGTCACGCTGGATGCAAAGAACCTGAAATCACAATGATTGTGCACCGTTCCTGTTAGTCTATCCAACGCAAAGATGTGCAACCACAAGTATGCGCGAGGGACATCAACCACAACTTTGGCAGGACACCTGAAGAAATAACACAAGATCTCTCTCAAAGGAGAGCGCAAATTTGATCCAAAACAGATGATCTTTCATCAAGAGTCTGGAAACATCTTTCTTCCTGACGTAATGAAAAAGCTGCAATCTTTGACGCTCTTATTGACTGGATAGTAGATGACAAACAAGTGTTTTGCGTTGTAGAAAACTCCAAGTTTCAAAAGTTTGTCAACCGCCTCAACAACTTATACCATCTTCCTTCGAGGCGCACAATTGTTCGAGGTTGCTTTACGTAACTTCTGCAATATTGTTGCTGATATACTTGGTCGTGTGGTGTTGATTTGTGATGGCTGGTCGTCGAGGGTCATGCGCGGATACTTCTTTATGACCTTGCACTAGATCGATAATCAGTGGACCTAGCGGGCGTCTGTTTTGGAATTCAATTTTCCGTCCCCGCACAACATGCACACAACAAGTACATTGATCTTGAAAATCTTGGACGACTTCAAGTTGATGACAAAAATTCGAGTGAGCACAATCGATAGCGGTTCTGAAATGTCAACAGCCATGAAAATTGTGATGGAATCTTCCAATGAAAAGTACAATATGTTCTTGGACTCGGACTGACATATATTATGCATATGCCACATTATTAATCGTGCCGTTGTTGACTATGAGACGCTGGTCAAGTCCGTGGTGACGAAGATCTGCAAGATGTTAAAGATGATACGCAACACGCAAAAGATGCGGTAGGCATTCAAGCAGGTGCAGATTTGGCTTGGCAAAGCTTTCACAGAGAACGTCCCTGGCTTGGATGTGGATTATCGTTGGAACATTCTGTTCTAGATGATTCATGCATGCCTCGATTTACAAGACATTTTTGAATCAATGTCGGACAGTGTTGAATTTTCAAACAAACTCAAATGTCTCACTGCAC